GGCAAACCAGACTCACTTTAGAGAATGATAGCCTTGCATTCTCTTCAAAAATTCCTTTCCATATCTCTTAACATCCTTTGAATACCAATGAACCCAAGAACTTCTTGTTCTGGTTAAGGGCCTTTATAATGTCATTACTTAATAATTAGTTTTATGTAGTTTAAGGATTCATCCATCTCAAGAGTAATTTTACCATGAATGTATTAATCAAAAAAGTAAAACATACTATTCTACACTATTTACTCTGGGCAAGATTTGTGTGTGTGCGGGTGTCTTTAAAATAGAACTACAGAATTTCAGAAACTATCCTTGAGCTCAACTCATCCACTATACTTCAGGATTTCCCAAAATGAAATATAAACAAGCATTCTATGGGTAAATAATTCTATCGCTTTCTTTGTGAGTAAATCATCACCCATCAAAAGTAAAACTTCACCCAGGTGCCAGTGGCTCACACCTGTAATCCTAGCTACTCGGCAGGCTGAGATCTGAGGATCTTGCCAGCCCAAGCAAGAAACTCCGTGAGACTTTCATCTCCAATAAACCACCAGAAAACCGGAAATAGAGCTGTGGCTCAAGTGGTACAGTGTTTGCCTTAAGCTGAAGATCTGAGGGACAGCGTCCAGGCACAGAGTTCAAACCCCACGACCGATCAAAAAAAAATAAAGTACAACTTCCTCAGAAAAAGCCTAATTTTTCTTAAGACAAACATCCTTCAAGTTCATATGAACTCAAAACCTTTTCATTCCTTAACAACTATTAACCTCATATTTTTAAGAGCACGGCAAGTTGTGCCTTTTCCCATATTTTAACCTCAAAATCAATGATCAGTGATGATATCTAAAATGCAAAAAGCTGGAAATAATTTAACACAGACATAAAAACTATTTTTAACATTCACTTAATGTTCCACATACACAACTAATAACCTTAAATAATTATCATTTTTACTCAGTGTGTGTGTGTGTGTGTGTGTGTGTGTGTGTGTGTGTGTGTGTGTGTGTGTGTGTGTGTGTGCGCGTGCGCGCGCGCTGGTCCAAGGGCTTAAATTCAGAGCTCGCCTCAAGTTGAGCAACAGTGCTACTTCTGACTTTTTGGTAGTTAACTGGAGTTGACAGTACCATGGACTTTCCTGCCTGGGCTGGCTTCAAACCATGATCCTTATATCTCAGCCTCCTCAGTAGCTAGGCTTAAAAGCATGAGCGACCAGCACCTGGCGTAGTCATGCCTCCACACTGGAACCAATTCATTTCAACTTTTGTAATTTTTTTTTAAAACAGTCCTGGGGCTTGAATTCAGGGCGTGGGCACTGTCCCTGAGCTCTCTGGCTCAAGGCTAGTGGTGTACAACTTGAGCTACAACTTCATTTTCCAGCTTTTTGGGGTGATTAATTGGCAAAGTCTCACTCTGACTTTCCTGCCTGAGGTGGCTTCAAACTGAAATCCTCAAATCTCAGCCTCCTAAGTAGCTAGGATAACATTCATGAATCACTGGCATCCAATCTCATTCTGCTTCTGTATCTTAAGTTCTCAATAGTAAGTTATCAGAATTGTAATTCTAATAGCTTCTAAAACATCAACAGATGTTTTTAAAAGTTAGTGGAAATTTGTTGAGAATGTTTCTAATGCTATGAAAATTCATATTCAGACAAATTCTGAAATTAAAAAGACATGCCACATCTTAATTTTGATAGCCAAAGTTTACTGTCAGTAAAGAGGGGGTAAAATAAGATGTGAAAGTAGATGAACACAAAACAATTTTCAAATACATTATTGCAAACTTTTTACCAAGTGTTACTGAAAAATCACTGAGCCAGGCACCAGTGGCACACACCTATAATCCTAGCTACTCTGGAGGTTGAGATCTGAGGGTCATACTTTAAAGCCAGGTCGGGCAGGAAGTCTGTGAGATATTTACCTCCAATAAACCACCAGAAAACTGGAAGTGACCCTGTGGCTCAAGTGGTAGAGCTAATACCAGCCTTGAGCCAAAAAGCTCAAGGATAAAGACCAAACCCTAAGTTTAAAAAAAAAACCAACAAGGACAAAAACAACATTGAAAGTAGGAAGCCCTTAAAGAGACAAAGAGAGGAAAAAAAACACTTAACTGGACATTCCAAATACATCACCTATGGAAAAATTAAAAAGACACAAATACATAAAAACAATTAGCAAGTTGTCAAAGTAATTCAATTACATTTTTTTAATTTCCATATAAATTAAAGCCAAAATGTTAGAAATGAGATGTAACTACATCTGCACTTTCAATTCACACTAATCTAATATCTTGCATAGGTTTCAAAGTACATTTAGTTTGCTCATTGAGTAATTGCCTTTTACCTTAAACCAGTCCTTAATGGATAATTCATATGGCTTCTCTTTCTGCTAATGTTTCAATTAATGATATATTTTAACAAAGAGACTGAAAATTTTAATATTAGTGTTTATCATTATTGCTATAATCTATGTATCTAATATCCCCACCTTGGTTAAAAAAATAAAGCCCTACATAATATAGTGATTTCAGCTACCAAAAAAGAGAAAGAAAAAAAGAATTGGTTTATTGATATTCAAACTACAAAAATATATTCTGAGTAAGAGACTTAAAATATTACTTTCATTCCACCAGTTGTTATATTTTAAACAAGCTGTTTTAACTTTCTGAACCTGTTTTTTCATATAGCAAATACAGATATCATTTATCATAAAAGTAAAACACAAAGTTTGTATCACTGTTTTCTGAGCAGAGAAAATAGTTCCTGAATACAACTGACATAAAGACAGGAGAATCTTCCATAGTGTCACATGTTATTTGTATATTTTAAGATCTAGTGTGAATTAAATCTCACTAAAACCTGATGATCTAAGCAATAAAAGACACAAAAAAGAAATTCCACACTCCTATTTTTACCAACTGATATTTAGTGAAATTTATATATGAAATAGGTTTAAAGTTTAAGATAAAAGGAAGACAAGACTTAAAAAGAAATAAAGCAAAAAGTGTAATGATTGTTTTTCAGTTTTAACTACTGACAATAGTCAGACAAGGAAATAGCATGTTCTAAGATCTATCAAGGGAACCTAAGAATGTTAACAGAAAGACAGCTGAGCAAAATGGTCAATATTCTGTACAGAGGGGCCAGGAGATGCGATTAGTTTCAACTGTGTCACCAACTTGTTTGACCTTGGACAGGTCTCTGCTTCAATTTCCTAATCTATAAAATCACTGCTGAAAGTCAGCAAGTATAAATCAAGCTGGGTTTTCCATGGAAAGGCAATCCAAAGTTGAGGTTAATAGAATAGCTCTGTGGCAACTGCCAGCCTGAGAACCCTGGCTGTGACACAAACCTGTGCAATGCACGCACAAGGCACCAAAGTACAGCTTACCACTACCACTGACTGTTCCCAAGACTCGACTGACACAACAAGTTGTACAAAAACACTTGTATAATGTTTAATCTTTCCAAAGGAAGGCACTACCATTGGGCTACAAGACACTATTCTGAGAATCTTTATCAAAAGATCATTTCATGAGATACAGTACAGATACCACAGAAACTTTAAGACCTACTGTTCTCACCAAAATATCACACTCAAGGTAAAAACAGAACTGCTACTTACATCTTTTGAATCTATTACTACTGACAACAGAATCATGTAACCATAATCCCTAACAAGAAAATTAACTCCTGGAATTAAACACACACACACACACACACACACACACACACAACAAAACAAAAAAAATCTGTTGAACTCGGAAACACAAAGTGAACTTCTACCTACTGGAAATGCATAGTTCCAAAGTAATAATCAACCAGTAGGGCTTTACCAGATGTTTTATCAAGCTGTGCAATGGTTAAGTACACCGAAGTATGACGTTTCTCAGAGTTGACCAAGTTCCAAGGACTTGGAAAACGAAGTGTAATGTTGCTTTTGACACAAAAGACACTCATCTGCAGTTTGTTTCCTTGTTGGCACATAAGGGATACTTCTCATTGCAAATTAACTGTCTCTCTTGGTAGGAGACAATTCAGAACTAAAAGGGTCAACCCACAGATGCCCAAACCAGTCCCTCCCAACAGGATCCTTGAAGCCCTTGAAGTGAACCATTTAGAAGAGCACATTTTATCAAATCTACAAGCTTCAGCAGCTTACGTAAAACTGATGTCCACACTTGCAGGGTTCAATACACATAGCTCTGTTAACTTGGGTTAAGTAACCAATTGCACCAACTCAGTTCTTCCTCTTAAAGTAGTAAAGGCAAACTCCACTTCTTAAAAAAAAAAAATCCGTGCTTTTTTTTTTTTTTTTGGTCTTGTTTTGTTTCTTGCAACGGACAGTCGACAGGAGAAAAGGGAAACTGATTGGCTCATCATTGTTGCCCTACTTCTTATTTCAGAGCTAAAGGGGAAAACTGTTCCTCAAAGAGTAGCGAGGGAGGGGGTGGGGGAGGGCACAGGCGACACCAGAAGGGCAGACCCTAAGCAAAACTTTATGAATCACCACGATTTACAGGGGGGGAGGGGGAAGGTCCACTTCACCAAGCCGGGGGGGGGGGGGGGGGAGGGAGGGGAACCACCCTTCGGAGCCAAACCCGTCTCCAGGATGCTGCCCGAGAGAGCTCGGAGTTGGAGGCCCTGGAGCCTTGGACGTGATCAGGGGGAACCTCGGTCAAGGCGGAGCAACCAAGGCTGCCACGGAGCAGGTGGGTTAAGTGACACGCAGGGTGAGGACGGGGCGCCGGCGGACGGAAGCCCCGGCCCCCAGCGGGCTCCGGGCGGGTGCGGAAGCAGGCGAGGCGCGGGCAGCCCGGGCTGCCGGCGCCGGGTCGGGTCAGCACCGCTCCGGCTCGGAGGGGAGAGCACTTGTCGGAGCCCCGCCGTAGCGCGCCGGGGCCCAGGGGCCGGAGGGAGAAGCGGAGAAGCTGCGTTCCCCGACGGGCCGGCGCCGGCCCCCTCCCGGCACCGCAGGTAAACACCGGCCGGCGCGGCCGCTTACCTCCGTGAACATTATTACACCCCGGGGAAGCGAGGTCCTCCCTAGCCTCGCCGCATGGCAACAGCCGTAGCAGCAGCGAAAACTGCCCGGGCCGCTGCCAACGGCGGCAACTGTTCCTTCAATCCTTTCCCGGGCGGCGGCTCTACTCGGCTTCGCTGGCTTCCCCACGGCCCGGCGGCTCGCGACGGACGCGCCGCCATCTTGGAAGAGCGACGTCCGCGTCTCCCCGCGACGTGCGTTCCCATTGGTCGGCGCGGACGCCGGCGTCTCGTGACCGTCTCCATGGCGCCGGCGCGTGGGGGACGCGGAGGCCGGCGCGGGGTCGCCGCCTCGGCGCCGACGGCGGGGTCCTCGGGACCGGGGATCCGGGACGACTTGGCGGCGCTGGGCGCGGAGGGGAGGACCGGGGCTGGGGTCCCGCGGGGCCCGGCGTGCGCCGCCGCGGAGGTCGCTGGTCTTCCGCCCCCCGCCGGGGTCGGCCGGCCCCGTCGCAGGCCCGGAGCGGCCGAGGCCGAGGCTTTGATTGACGGCGCTGCTCATCTCGCGCCGTTCGGGGACCTGGAGTCCGAATTTCTTCCGAGAAACTTCCATCATCTGGCCTCTCCCCGTCCCCGCGGGGACGCAGAGGCCAGGCTGGAGGTGGGAGGTGGGGGGAGAGCTGGTGGGCTTTCTTCTCCTTGGCTTAAAGAGTCATCTGAAACGACACCCCGCGCCCCCCCCCCCAACTTGGGTCAGAAAGTGTCTGCGGTCTCCACCTGAGCTCACTTGAGTTCTTTCCTGGGGTGCCCGTCAGGTTGTGGGGGCGATCTGGGCGTCTCGGCTTTACCCTGAGCCCTGCCCGCCAGATGTAGGACAGTTGGGGAACTGGTGATTGGCCAGTACCTGCCTGACCCTGAGGCTTTCGGGTTGTCAACTCACCCCGCCCCTGGGTATAAAGAGACCTTTAAGACCGATCCAAGCAGCTGTGGCTCTTCGGCTGTGTTGGTTTCTTTGGTCCCCGTCACTTGTGTGACCCGAGCGAGTCGCTGACCGGCTGGGGCTCGGCGCGCCGAGGCCCCCGAGGCAGAGTGCTCCATCCACCCGGCGCTGGGCGGGGATGGTTGTGCGGAACTCCTCCTTCGAAGCAGTGCTGACCCGGTCGCCATCTCCAAGTGTACCTGACCGTGGAGACTTTTCCAGAGAAAAAGGAAACGTGCCTTTGGCAGCCTGACAAGTCCAGCACTTTCATCACCTGCCCACAAAAGTTAACCAGACTCCGTTTTGGAAAACGGACACTCCCGAGTTCCTGCTCCTTGACTGGAATTTTTCCCCTTGAGTTAACAAGGGTCTTACTTTGCTAGGTTTAGTATAAAATTTCAAAATGGTAAGTAAAGGTATTACAAACCTTTTATGGATCTTCTTTTGGGATCTGATCTAGGGGGGAAAGGCTCATCTAAAGCATTCGAGCAGACATTGCAGAAAAACCCTGACTTTTCTCCATTTGACTAATTGTAGCGAAAGTTTTGTTGCTTTAACCTACATCTGAGATATAATTGCTAGACCAACACAACCCTAACTTTGGCATTACAGTAAAATATTTTACTAGCATAAGCAGACCATAAATAGGAAGTAAGATTGGAAAATACAAGTTGTACTTCTGTATTGAAGGAATTCAAGAGATATCAGAGACAACAAGGAACCTGGAAAAAGATACTGTTTCAACCTGTAAATAAGAACAGAGAAGGTAGCTCATTAATGTTTAATAAGATACCAACAAGTGAATTCAAACTGTAACTTAGATAGCTAGCTTGAATGTTATTCTAACTCTATTCTCTGCATCTTTTTCCCTTTCTAAAAAGCAACACGTTTTCACCTATTTTGAAGGTGGTACAGTAAATTAAAAGGAGGCATAACTTGAGGTTTGAACAAGCCTATGATATAACATGGATATGCTGTTAATATTCGGAAATTTGTAGAGCTGAGAGAAAGGCACGATCACTAGCTCTAACAGTAGCTTCCCAATTTTCTCAGTCCTTTTTGCAACCTAGAAAGTCCTGTGCTAGCTGGCCTCTAGTGTCCTACCCCACCCCCACCTCTCTGACCTTATTTCTGCCAAGCAATTTGTTCCAGTTACACAGGCTGGCTCTCTGCTCCTATAACAATAGGGCATCCTCTTGCCCTGAGACCTTTGCACTGACTAGTATCTCTATCTAGAAAGATCTTTCCATCAAACACAGACTAGGAAGCCTATTCTAATCATCCAGTTCAAAACACTGCCCCTCCCCTAGTATCCTCCCTTCTTTCCTTCATGTTATTTTTTTTTCTTGGTAGTTAAACTTTCTAACACAATTAGTATATTCTTATCAATCTTCCACTAGAATGTAAGCCCCATGAGGATGCTTCTGTTTATTTAGTGATCTCTCCTTTATATTTAAAACACTACATTATCACATGGGGTAGATTGTAAACTCAGTATGCCCAGTAAATGTCTCCTGTGGGTGGGAAAATCATTTCTAAAGGATCACATGAAGAAGGCCTAAATAAAACTAATTAAAAGTAAAATCCTTTGTGTTGAAAATTAAATTTCCAAAAAAATTAGACATTGAGACATTCTGTGTTCTTACCATTATGTGAGCCTAGAATGCTAGGAAGTTAATATCTTTCTCTACCATTTTAAAGAGTTGACAGCTGATGTTAATTTACCAACTAGGAAGGAAACAAAGTGGGGTAAGGTATTTTATTTCAGAAAGTTATAAAAATAGATGTATGCTGTTAATGGAATTCTTACAGAATCAACTAACATGTTTTAAAAAGATAAGCACCTAATTTAAATGGATTATAATTTCATTCTACATCCTCTTAAAAACATCCTCTTCATATCTTGTTAAAAAGGAAATGTGATGTGATCTGTAATGCTGAGTTCCTTGGCTATCAATAAGAAATTTAAGACAAAGCAAGCTATCTAAGAAGCACATGATAATGTGTCCAGGGCTGTTATTCCAAGAGGTTTGATTCCCAGCCGGCAGTGTTGAATCAGCTTAACCCAGGGAAGGATAACAAAAAGAGATATGGCAAAAGTTAATGATGAAGCCAGGCTGAGATGTGAGGATTGCAGTTCAAAGCCAACCTGGGTAGGAAAGCCCATGAGACTTACCTCCAATCAACCACCAGAAAACTGGGAATGGTGCTGTGGCTCAAGTGGTAGAGTTGAAGAGCTGAAGACCTGAGGGACAGCCCCCAGGTCTACAAGCCACTGCCTGTGATTTCTAAACCAAGAAAGTAAAGACTGAGAATATCTAGGTTTCCTAACTTTTAAGAACAAATAATTTCTGGATATTCAGGTGTCACAAATTGTCCCTAATACTTTCTGGAGAAACTGGAAATGTATATGACATTACCATTTGTCACATTTAGGTCTTTTGGTGTCATAGGCAATTTTAGTATTTAAATTCACAAAATACACACATTGCATAGATTGATGTTTTGGTATGTGTATGCAGAATGTCATGATCAAATAGGATAATTGGTATATTTATCTCCTTAAATACTATTGGTGGTGAAACCTTCAAAATCCTAACTTCTAGGTAATTTAAAATATACAATTTGCATATGATTGGCTTAAAAACATCAACTAATTTCTTCAGAACATAGAATTACTACTAATGTCATCTACCACCTGTACTGAACATTAAATAATACTTAAATGATACTGTGTGTATATATATATATATAATATATGTATATATATACACTCTGTATATAGGGTATATATAGTATATATAGTATATCATATATAGAGTATAGTATATTGTATATATAGTATATGTATACACTTTTATACATATATATGTATATATATGTGTGTGTGTGTATATATCTACATACATATATATATATATATATATATATATATATATACTTTAACCAGGTCCACGGCAAAGCTAGCAACTCAGTATTGGAAGAATACATCAATAACAGTAAGTACTCAGAACATGCAACAGCAGAATATCCAATTGTTAGAGCTTTAATAGGGCAATGGTAAGCAGAAATTTTGACCGCATGGTACTGCTCCAAAGTTTAAGCTTCCATTCACCCAATATATGGTGTTTGTTTTGTTTCTTCTGTGGTCCTTTTTGAGGAAATACTAAGCTAACTCAAGACTGAGGGACAGAGGCAGAAATACTATGAGGCCTCTGCTAACAGCAAATACAGCTATAAAGCAATAACATTCAGTCTTCAGTAACAGCTCTAAAACATCTACATAAAAGAGACCATATTGTAATGTGTTAAAGTCTGGTATATTTTAAGAATATTACTGCTAGTCACTTGTGGCTCATACCTATTATCCTAACTACTCAGGGAGCTTAGACCTGAAAATTGAGGTTGGAAACTAGCCAAGCTGCCCCCAGTACACAAATCCAAGACACTAATCTCCAGATAAAATATTACTAAGTTAATGACACCACAGTGAGAAATTTTAAGAAGCAAGTACTATCAGATTACCAAAAAAATGGATCTACAGCACTTTTCAAACATTCTCAATTTCAGATATTGTAAAAGACCATCACCAATGGTTGACACATAAAGATGCATTATACCCATAAATTGACCATGGAATTGAAATCCATTTTTACATCTATTTAAAGATAATTTAAAAACAAAGCTTCCCCAAAAGCATCTGAATAATTCAATTAAAACCAAGACAAGAGAAAGGCCAACAAACACCATAGATGTCTTCTCCTTAGAAGCCCGGAGAGATTCAGTAACTTGCTGTAGGCCACCTATCAACGACATATACTATTACTGTTAATATTGACCTTTTATCCCTAGACTGAAACTGAGTGTTTATCAAGTTTCTTCACTGGAGAGCTAACCACACATCATCTAATACTATTCAGTTTTGATACTGTTCAACAAAGTACTGTGCAGCCCCTATTTGGAGAGCTGAGACTAATGTACCTCTTTTCATGGTAAAGTACATAAATTATTTGAAATTATTTTGCATAACAGATAACTTCACCATGTTTTGTGTATTCAGTCATTTGTATGAATATGAGAATATAAGTGTTTTATTCTCTAGATAGTAGTCCAATACTAGTTTGTCTGATTTTTCAATTTATCCCTAAAGCTTTATACCCTCTAACATATTTTCATCAATGTGGGAATTTTTTTTGTTTGTGTTTGATTTTATTTTGTCCTTGCTTTTCTGGTAATAGAAGATTCTAGGCCTTGTTCAGGCCTAGAATCAACCATTT